AAAAAAAAAAAAAAAAAAAAAAAAAAAAAAAAAAATAGAGGCAAATTTATTGTCCTGGAGGCTGGAAGTTGGAGATCAAGGTGCTGGCAGGATTGGTGTCTGGCGAGGACTGTCCCCTCAGGCTGCAGACAGCCACAGTTGCACTGTGCACTCTCATGGTCTATCCTTGATTTCTTGGGTGGGGGGCTGGAGGGAGAGAAAGCATGAGCTCTCTGGTGTCTCTTCTTATAAGGACACTGTATCCTGTGGGATCAGGGTCCCACCCTTATGACCTCATTTAACTTTATTCCCTTAGAGATGTGATCTCTAAATACAGCTCCACTGGGGGTTAGAGCTTCAACATAAGAATTTTTGGGAGCAGATACAGACATTCAGCTTATAACAAACATCTTGTTTGAATAAGAGAATTTTGATAGAGTTTGAAAACTCTTGTCAGAGCCCAAGAGAGGATGGGACAGAGAGGGCTCTTGACTCCCAAGGCCACTGCGCAGAGGGGATGTCAGGGCTGGAGCTGTATTTAGACTGTGAGAGGACACGAAGGGGCCTTCCTACTCTGTGGGTTACATTTTAGGGAAAACTGTTCTTAGAAATAGTGGTGGCATTTACGTTCCCAGGTCAAACCACAGCAATTAAAAAAATCCAGAATGCAGTTGAAATGGGCTATGCATTGAAAGTCAGCGGGGGACAATTCTGTGGAAACACAGGATTAAAGCAAGTACATAACGAAGCCCAGAGTGCATGTTTCACTTATGGACAATGAGGGAAAAGTGTTTAGCTTTGAGGGAAGAATTTGCAGAGATTCTAAAGGAAACTTCTGGACTATCCTGATGACCCTTATTGTTGTGCCTGATCCCACGGGCTTAGATGCAGTCATGCTGTCACTTCTACTTGTGATTTCCTAGCCACTGTTAGCTCCTGCATTTGACTCTCAAGTGCTGCAAAGAAGTAAGCTGGCGACAGCCATTTTCCAGGGCTAACGGGGAAGGGTCTTGGCTCTGTGGCATCACGTCGAGCCCCGCATGTGTCGCAGGGCAGCTGTTTGTCACACAGGCACCAGGTGAGGAGAAGAGCAGGAGCTCAGTGACAGAGATGGGGATTAAGGATGCCCATCCCATCACTTTAGGTGGCATTTCTGGCACCTGGTGCTTGCCGGGTTCCAGTTGTCCAGCTCCCCTGGTGGCCTCTTCCTGGTCCATCCTGGAGGTCTGATATCAGCCTGTCCCTCCGGTGGGCCCGTGTGGGTTGAGGCCAGTGGGCCTGGAGCATGGTGAGGCCCAAAGTGGAAGGTCAGGCTGGTTCCCCAGGCCTGCGATGAAGGTGCCCTGAGCCCCTGTGTTCTGTGGGTGAGGTTCTGGCACATTCTCTGTTGTGTTCACTTTTCCTGACTTCTTGGGCTCAGACCTCTCACCTTGCTCTTGTTCTCCTCTCCACGATGTGGCCTCAGTTCTCCAGGGTTGTGGGAAACTTGGAAAGAGCACTGTGGAGTCAGTGATGGAGAGTGTGGGGAGGGGTACCGTGCTGGTGTGTCCCCCCCAATCCATGTGCCTGCGTGTGTGTTGGGGGGAGCAGGACACTATGCCTACTAGGTGGCATTAAGGGACACATGAGTGACTGGAGGAAAGAGACCTAGGGGTGCCTAAGAAAGGGTGAGAAGTTGCTCCACAGGAGCCTGAGGGGAGGCAGGAGACTGAGGGACTTTCACCAAAACCGGATGAACGGTGGCCGCCAGGAAACAAACACTCCAAGAATGTGGAAGTAACTTCTTTCCTTACATGTGTTTTTCTGACTGCAAAAGTGATCATGCTCATTGTAGAAAATTAGCAGAGAGTTTGAGAGCTGTCAGTCCATGCCGGAGGTCGGGCAGAGCAAAGCAAGCCTGAGGAGGTTCTAGTCTTTGGGGGCTGTGGTCTAACGAGTGCCAGGGCTGTGCGGGCTTTGATTTCCATCCAAGCTCAGCGGCTATGCCCAGGGCCCGCAGGCAGGTGGACCTCACACAGGACTCAGACACCTCCTCCTCCCTCTTGGCCCCAGAGGCAGATGAATTGTTCCACAGAAGGGTAGGGTGGGAGGGCTGACACTATCACACGGTGTCTGTCCACAGGGGACTCAAGATCCCGAGAGTGCTTAGGAACATGGGCAGAAAAGCCCGAAGGAAATGAGTCTTCCTAAGCCCATTCTGGTAGTGAGATTCGGGGGTGTGGGTAGACTTGGGGCTCCTGAAGTGAGTAGCTTCAGGAGGGGCTTTGGTCATTCCCCACCACGGGCTGCTTCAGGCCTTCCCACCTCCTACCAGCCCAGGGCAGGGTGCAGATCCTGAGCCCACCTGCCCTCCTCCAGGAAACCGTGGGGGGCCCAGCTTGAGCTTTGGGTGTCCCTGACCACAGCCTGGCCCACCTGCCCTTCTCCTCACCTCACCCCAGAGCACAGGTGAGGAGGCTGATCTGTTTGGACTTTTCTCCTTCTCCTGGGGACCCAGAACCCAGCTCTTGGAGAAAAGCGGACCTTGGTCACTTTTGCTGTGTGTCTTCAGCCTCCTCTCGTCTTCTACCCTTTTTAGCACTGAGCTTGGAGGTCATCTTCCTCCTCTTCTCACCATTCCCTCATCCCTCTTTAGGGGGTTAGTGTCTCTAATGGTGGAGTGAAGAGCTGGTCCCTAGTAAAAGACGCTGGAAGGACTTATGGTCTGTTGGGGCAGGGACAGCCTCTCTGGGCTCTGGACCCACCACTTTCCTGATAACACACCGGCCTGTGTGTGAGCCCAGCTCTGGCTCAGGCTCTGGGACTTCCCCACCTGACCCCAACTCCAGAGCCTAAGGTGAGGGTCTTGAGTGGAGTAAAGGCTAAGTGGCATCTTGTCTCCACAGCACCTGGCACAGGGCACGGTCTAGGAAACAACGCTGTGGAAAGGTTGCTTTCCTTCTCTACCCCACCTGGTTTTGCAAAATGACAGAACTGGCCTCTTTTTTGTGCAAACTTCTTGTGAGTCATGCTTCTGTGGCCTTTTTGCATCCACAAAACTGAGTGGCAGGTCCTGGTTCACAGGGACCCCATATGTTGTTGGCAAAATGACAGAACTGGCCTCTTTTTTGTGCAAACTTCTTGTGAGTCATGCTTCTGTGGCCTGACTTTTTGCATCCACAAAACTGAGTGGCAGGTCCTGGTTCACAGGGACCCCATATGTTGTTGGCACAACTCCTCCCCACCCCCATCCCTGGGGATTTGTCTGTTCCTCTCCTCAGCTCCATGGGATGAAGCTTTTATCCCTCCTACCTCCACGGTGCCTGGGCCCGCTGCTCCTCTGTCATCAGACCTCCCGTATGGCCCTGGGTCACCCTGCCAGCCATCTTCATTCCCATCCAGAACTGTGCACCTGCCACACCTGTCCCTGATTGCTGAGTCTGTGTGAGGTGCAGATGTACATCCAGGGATGGGGACCCTTGTATTAGTGTCACAATCCCAGAGGCCCTGGGCTCTGCAGGGAACACAGAGCTGCAGCTGACAGGACAGTATGTATCCTGATACTGTACAGGAAGGTGGGCTGGAGGGAGGGCCCTCATCTTCTGACATCAGGAGTTTTAAATAAATTGTCCTGATTTTTAAATCTGGAAACTAATCCCAAAACATTTTTAAGCAACATTCAGGCCAAGCCCCACATAACCAGGGGCTGGCTTTAATTGGCAGGTACTGTTGGCTAATGCTCAGTGAGTACTTAACCTGCCAGGGAACTTTCCAGTCCTGTCTTTGATCAGGTTACCATTACTATCATCTCATCTGACAAGTTGAGAAACAGATACACAGGCAGAGTGATTCACTGGTGCCAGATCGTGATTTAATAAATGGTGTTTGAGCACTGAGAGCCTGGGTTGGGCTCCCACAGGCAAACCCCAGGGCTTTGACTCCTTCCCATGTGAGACTGAGTCCCTGGAGGGCATGGCCAAGGTTTATGCAAGCAGCTCTGTTTAATGAGCATTTTCTATGTGGTTGGTGAGTGCATGTTATTTTGTTCAAGCCTCACAACAACCCCGAGAAGTTCATATGATCATCTTTACATTAGGGGTCAGGAAGCTCAGTTTGGAAAGAGAGACTTTTCCAAGGTCTCTTAGCCTCCAGGTGGAGGGCTATGACAGACACTCAGGTCCATCTGGCTCTAGAGTCCCAGGTCCTTCTGCGCAGCCTGGTGTCTCTCTGAGTCCCTGTGGTCAGCCAGGCTCAACAGGGCCATTGGGGATGGTGGTTGAGTGTCTGGGGTTTGGCTTTTGAGGCTGCTGCACAGGATTTCTGGGGCGGCCTCCTGGCATGGGGCTCTGTCCAGGGCGACAGGCTACTGGGTTCGGTCCCGCTCGCTCCTCTGTGGCGAGAGGCACTGCCAGATTCCCCTGCGGACCGTCTCACTGCCCAGGGCATAGTTGATGGCGTCGATCGTGGGCACCATTTTGGCAACAAGGGCGGGCACCTGTTGTGGCAGAAAAGCCATGAAAGAAGCTTCAAAGCCTCTGCTCCTCTCTCTGGTCCCATCTGGTGACCCCAATCCCCCTCCCCTACAGCTGCCAATCAAATATGCTTGGCTTGATTCTGCAGCCTCTGAGCCCCGTTGGCAGATGATGCATGGCTCAGGGGGCCCCAGGGAAAACACATGCTCCCCACCTGGGCACCGACCTCAGCCCCTGGTCAGAGTGTGCATGCTCACCATCTGGCTCTGTCTCTGTCATCTCACCAGAAGCTTATGCAACATTAAGCATCAGCCTGGAGTAGCCCAGGGAGTGAGGTGGGGGACAAACACGTTCTCTGTGCATTGCGAGTGTTCAAAGGAGACAAAGAGACACACTGACACGGAGGCCAGAAAGCCAGAAAGAGAAGTGAGGAGAGACAGAGACACAGCCGGAGAGGGCTCTAGATCTGAGTACTGGAAATGTCTTGTACCATCTGCAGTTTGGGGGAGATGGAAGTCACATCAGCGAAGGCTGCATATAGATACAGGAGGGCATAGGGACCCCAGCCGAGCAGCAGCGTCCTGACTGGCAGAGTGGTGTTCACCTGGAATAAAGCATCACAGGAGGCATCAGCTCGCTCCAAGTGGCTGGCAGCCCTGTGCAGCTGGGGAGACCAGGTTAGCGCTGAGCAGTGCTGGGCAGCAGGGACCAGGCTTCAGGGAGGGGCTGAGCCCCCAGAGGAACTTGGACCCAGACAGGCCTCTCTGCTGTCTAAGGCTGTGTAACCCTAAACCTGTTATTTATGCTTACTTGACCTCAGTTGCCTTGTCTGTAAAACGGCCTGATAAACCCTGACTTGCCTGGATAATGAGCGTCCTTCTGGGTCTGTGCTGTTTAAGGGGAATCCTGGATTTCGTGGCTGTGTCGATAAGGATGCCAAGGCTGAGGTGCCCTTAGGCCTCGGTCCCAGAACCAGCTCCCTAGGAGCAGCGGCAGCAACCTACGAGGTCAACCTGTCCTGGGCTCACAGTGTCAAATACTAGGAGGGAGCAAGGCGGGTCTCAGGAGTGGGTGATGCTGTGGTACCACCTTGGGCCCCAAGGGGGCGCACAGTTTGAGATCAGGATGGAGTTGCCAGGTCCCTGCTCCCCACAGGCGTGCAGGTAATAAAATGCTGACGCTAAAGGGGCCTTTCTTCTCATTGGCAAGTCTCTCTTTAACAAAGAAGGCTATTTAAGTTTGAAGAACAATCCTTTTCTTTAATTTTGGATCTTTAAAAAATGTTGACGGGGGGACATGTTTTCTCTTGAGTTGTCCCTCATTCCGAAAAAGGTGCTTAGCTCTCCTGCAGGGCTTCCTGGGTGAAGCTGAGGCCGGAGGAGAAACTGACCCCCCAGCCAGTGGCCCTGCCATCTCTGATACCACTCAGCTCGCCGCTGAGGGCCCTGGGCCTGTGCATGGTGACCTCTGCGGATGCTCCGGAGCTGATGGTTTAAAGTAAACCTGGAAAAATGAGAAAATTATGCTGGCAGCCTTGTCTCCTGGCTAACTGAACCTCCTGTAAATGTGGCGACTTTGAGCATCAAGACAGGGCTTAAGGCGGGCAGCACGGAGGACAGCCCGGAGGTGCCTGCAACAGCCGGCTGGGAACCACAAGACAGGATTCTGTCCCAGCGCAGCCCTCGCCCTTCTGTGATCTTAGGGGAAAGTGGGTCTCCAGCTAAAATCGACTTGTACAGCCCTTTGTCAATTCATACACACACACACACACACACACACACATACACACACACACACACACACAGAGTCAGTAGTGAAGTCACAGATGAGTGTCTCGACAAGAAGAGTGTTTCTTTTGTGTACTGTGATTGAGCACGTGGCTCGTGCAGTCCCAGACCTGTTGTTAACTAGGTGTGTGCCTTTTGGCAGGTTGCTTTGCCCACTCCTCTCAGCCTCGATTTTCCAGTCTGTGACACAGGAATAACAAAATCTTCCTTCCTCAGAGAGTGGTAGCAGAGATAAAATGACAATGCACATAAAGTGACATTAATATCTATTTTTTACAAAATCTTGGTTGCTTGTCATGACTTATTTGCTAGACATTGTCCAGGTGACTAAGTTAAAAGAAAATTGTGGCAAGGGGATATTAATGCAGAAATTCAGAAATGGCCAGGAGGGCTTATTTCGAAGTATTGTTTTCCTTGGACAAATGTTGCTTGCAGGTGTGATTTTACGTTGTGAGTGACAGCCTGTGACTGTGATTAAATTAGCATTTAAAAGGCCTGTAGTTTTGTGCCACACCTCAAATCCTTGGAAGGAATTAAGGGTGAGAGCATGGACGACATCCGGCAGGCAGCCCTGGCTCTTGGGTTTCCAGGGTCTGGGTAAATGAGAGTGGCCCCACGTCTTGCTTCCCAGGCCTTGGGGATCTGGGCAAGGTGCAGGGTGGTTTCCAGCCTTAATGCCCTAGGTTGTATGCAGGCTGGATTTTCTCCTGATCATTGAAAACACAGAATACCCCTGGCTGCTGGCTGCCGCGTGTTCATGTTCCCTGGTGTCCCTGAAAAGGACTGAGAGATTTCCGCTACTCGAGGAGTTNTGCTCTGCTGTTTGTTCCCCAAGTGTGAAGAATGGGACACGTTAGTCGGGAAATGGAGAAGACCAAGAGGAAGGAACGTTCAAAGAGTGTTCTGGGCACAGGGATTTGAAAGGGGCCTGCAGATGAGAAAGAGACTGGATAATGTATCACTGAGGACATTGTTGAAAGGAGCACAGAAGAGCCTGGGGTCCCTGGTAGTGAGCATGGGGAGACGGAAGGGCTGGCCAGGGACAGGTGGGAGTCACAGGGAGGCAGATGCCCTTTTTGTGGAGGGAAGACTGTGTCACCTGAGAGCTGTCCACTAAGGAGGGGTGGGGGGAAGGGTTGCCAGAAGGCCTGGACTGGCTGAAGAGTGCCCTGCAGGGACTCTCGGACTAGACTCAGGGTTCTCAAGTGGTTTCACTGGAAAAATCTATCATCGGGACAGAGGCTTCATGAGTAAATATCACATATAAAGCAGGTGAATGCTACATGGCTCTGGTGGAAGCAAGAAGAGGCCCATGTAACGGCTCCTTTAGAGCCACTGAAGGATCTCCCTAAACCCTGGTCTTCCCAGAGCCACGAGGATGGGGCGGTACGAGAACACGGGCTTCATGACAGCGGGACCGTCATGCATTCGGTCCTGTCTCTCCAGGGCGTGGCTCATAGCAGATGCTCAGGGAATTTCCAGGACAGATTTCCATGCCAAAGAGGTCCCTCCCAATGCAAAGACCTTAATGTTTTCTGAATCTGTCTACCCAAGGGCATGGCTTCTTCTAGAAATCAGGGCAGTCAGAGTCAGAACAGCCGACTGTGCTGAAGACGGCAAAGGGGCTGTGGGCTCCCTGACTGTTGTGACCGACACAAGCCAACGGCTCACTGCATGATGCCTCTTCCTGGAC